ATATATCAAGTGTGTGAAATACGATTGAATGTGGTTAATGTAAGTAATGTACTTAATGTAAGTAATATAAATAATGTAAGTTATTGTACGTGTGTGTCGATTGATTGAGCACCCTCTTAACAAGATTTACGGGAATCTATTATTAGCAGTCCGTAGCCAACATAAATTAACGATTACTGTGTAAAAATGAAAGTGTTAGCAATTGAAATAACAAAGTAATAACTTTAAAACTTTCTCCTGTAACATTTGGTTTTGTGCAGATACGCGCCTTTTACAATAGGTACTTACGCGGGTTTGCACTATCCCCGACGATATTCGTAACAGTGCAAAATTTCAAATCAAAATAAAAAACCTAGGTAATTAAATCACACGCACAATAACATATACATTATTATTATTATTAAAATTTTAGAATAATAACGCATTGAAACCTAGTCCGCACACGCTAATTGAGGCAAATTGAAGCGCTCCCAAAGGGCCTACACGAGCGGGCGGGCCGTCAGTGCTCAAGATCAACTTGCACCGCGAACAGCTCAAGAATTTTAGCTAAAAATGACGAAATGTGCGGTAAATGAGTGTAAAAATACGTCAGACAAACATAAAATAGATACTAACATCACAGTCCATAAGGAAGTAACGCGTTTCAACTTGTATTTTTATATAAATATTCACTAAAACCATAAATTAACCAATTACTAAAACTACATGAATTTGATTTTTGCGTCACTTGTGACAGTTCGTTTGATATGAAACTATAATTCTATGCGTTATTATTCTAAGATTAAAATTATATTTACAAAACTATAGGCAGTGTGTACATACATACATATTATAGTATATAGTACATGGCTATAGAGCCACCGCCAACGAATACTTGAGAACTCAAATAATAAAAAGTAATTCGAATAAGAACTGTAACTACAAATTCGTGCCACTTCTTTTCTCTCATAGTTTTTCGGCATACATATCATATTAAAAACTATGAGAGAAAAGAAGTGGCACGAATTTGTAGTTACAGTTCTTATTCGAATTACTTTTTACTATTTGTGTTACGATTTGAGTTCTCAAGTATTCGTTGGCGGTGGCTCTATAGCCAATATTCAATAAATACCTAAGTAATATAATAATGGAGCCTGAGCCAGTATTTGTTCACTCGGTAACGAAGCTGTTATGATGACTATGACGTAAGTATACTCAATAATTAACACTTCATATTAATACCTAGGTACCTAAATTATCATTTTGGCATATTCATAACTTTGCATTATAGATTTTTCATACATAATATAATAAAAAACGATTATCTTTTTAATTTAACAATAAAAACGAAATCTGAAACGGCAGATATTTAGTAGTAAATGACTACTAAAACTTTACCAATTATATAGTCTCGGTAATACTTACAAATGCAAAGATATTGACGTTTGTTACTTTTCAGAAATGTAAGGGTTGAGTGAGCACTTAAAAATAAAATATTATTCACATCACACTTCAGTGGCTTGGTTTATGTTTTACAAAATCATATGCAACTTTCACTAAATCTAGACATAAACGAAAATTAATTGTCTTATTTGGTTCGTAAGAAATCGTTTCTTTTAAAAAAGTGCGGATTGAGTGATCATAAGAAAGTACTTGTAAAAAATTCAAAAAGACACTAACCAATCTGTAATTAAAAACGATAGTTTAACAAAACCTTTACTAAAAATTAGTACAATAATATTATATACAAACTTAATACTTTTGTACATCTGACTGGCCCTTTGTAAGAATGAGAACTTAATGAGCACACAATAACGAAAGAATAGAAAGTTTGGTTTCTACAATTATTTACAACTTTTACTAAATGACTAATATATTTTAAACATTTTACAGAGGGTGCTCATTCAATTCACACACACGAAGTTATTGTTACAAATATAATATTTAATTATTGCAACAGCCACCAAATATGATCTAATGTTTGTTCGGAAATTCTGATTTTAAGTAGCAGTAGAGCTCCTTGTAAAGTTCGTCCATGAAAGTACTGTGACAGTACCTATTTTTGCCGCCAGTATAGTGACTCTCAAATCTTTGCGATTTATGGTTCGAATAAGGTAGGGTAAGCGTGTCACTTACCACCAGACCTTCCTCCCGCCGCCGCATAATATCATTTCGTATCATAAAGAGGTCTGCCTTAAGAAAATGTTTCAGTCAATACCTTTTGAAACAACCTGCTTACCTTACTAGGCTCACTCCAAAGAAATCGATGACTTTCTAGAACATTGACCTATTTCAAAAGCATTTAATTCATAAGGAAAAGTTAAAAAAACAACTTAAGCATATCTGGAGCGCAAAACGAATCGAAATAGCACATTCGGAATACAGTTGTATAGTAACAAAAGTATCTATTTTAATTTGGATCACTATTCATAAAAAGGAGCTATTTGCAAAGAATATTCTCACTGCGCCTCTCTTTCTAAACAGTCCCAAATTGAAGTATACGATTAAAAAGTCGAAAATAAACCTTTTTTTTCCATAAAGATTTACGTGCAAAATGCCCACGAAAACTGCAAAAGTAAAGTTGTAGGTATAATTAATGAATTGTTCAATTAAGACAAAGCTTAGAAGATCTCTTGACACCAGAGGTGACACCACACGGAAACAGAAGAGATAAGTCACGTAGACACTTTTTGGATGTGATCCATTTATTTTGGGAGGTAGCTTACAGTAAGTCATGTACGATCTGTTCGGTATATATGAATTTTAATGAGTCACTATGTACTTATAGTTCCTTTATCGATTGTCATGATTTGTATACTTTAATTAATTTAATAGTTTAATCATTTCTTGCACTTGGTTAATAAACATAGATCGTTGTACATTTATTTTTCCAAAATAATTCTAATTATTTAAAAAAAATTATTGTCTATGCATCAGACAATTATAAAATAATATTAAAAACACAGAAATAAGACTAGTGTATAGTAAATGCACTGAAATGCGTGGAAGTGCGGTAGCCAAGTTCGATGAAACATATCTTAACCTAAAAAACACCCACACACTCTATCACTATCAGTGTTGCATAGTCTAGAATTTAAGAGAACTTGGCTCGTGATTTCACTTTTATAACTGTTAACCTAATTTAAGAAAACAATGATCACATCTATTGTGCCATTAATGGACATAATGCTATTGTTATAGCGCAAAACAATTTTTTTTTTTTGAATATCGAAACATTAGTGTGACACTGAGCTCAGAATGATGTGCATTGCAATCGCCGTTTGCTATCTTCTTTTCAGTGTTGCAGACGGTTTTCATAACTGCTTCGAGAGCTGTAAGTGATTTTAGTTTTACAAACTTCTTTCAGTAATCTTACTATTGAATCAAAGAGGTATAAAAAAGTTATTTCTAATGACAATTCATTCAACTCAGACCCAAATGTGGTTCGTAAATGTTTTGCGTGCGTAAATGATTAACTTTGTTCGGCCTATTTTCAGATGACGAAACAATGGAGCACCACCTTGTAACCAAAATCTTCAGCATCAAAGAACCCATATGGGTTTTCAAAACCGGCGTTCAAAGAGCTGAATATCAAGATCGACAAGATTTAGGGTTCATTCTAAAAGCAGGAAACAATCTAAGAGTGCGCCAAGTAAACCCAGAATTCGAAAAACTCATTGTGCTCTTGCTGCTGCCCTTTGATGAAACGCACTCATTTTTGGGAACGCTTAGATTAGAAGTGACCAATGAGTGGAATAACATAATTGTTCATGCAGATTCGGTGCCATTTGCAGACACGCCATATGGAAATACGAGTGCGGACCTTGAGTTCCAAGCACTCTGCGCTGGTGTGGCACCGCTGCCCGTCTACCAACGAGGCGACAACGAAACTAAATTCTTCATTGACTGGACCAAACACAACAGCAGTTTTGCCTTAGCCAAAAATACTCACATACAATTGCTCATACCGATACATCTACAACATCTTAGCAAACATCTTGCATATCACAATAACCTATTTGGATCCCTTAATGACATATTGGATTTCTTCAAAAGTTTTATCAACTTCCTTGATTCACTATTAGGGTTCGATGGCTCCTCTTATACAAATCAGGTTCCAGAAAATCGTCACTTCATGACTGCGACGAAAAGTAAATGGTTCTACGACTCGTTCCAGTTGCGCTACTTGGATTTGTGGATCCAACAACCGTCAGTGGATTTGCTCAATGAGATATCCGGCGGCTATTACTATTTGATGCACCAAGCTTTGTTCGACAGCAACTACTTTGAAAATTATTATCATTCGGGCAACATATTGCGTAAGTTCTACAATATTTTATTTGAATTCCAATATTTTGAAAATGTTAAACCTAACGACAGTTTAACTAACACGTTTTCTCACGTTAAATTTCTTGAGACGACGGAATTGCTATTGTATATTGATTTTCTATCAGACAACAATATATTCAACAGCACGACGCCGTATGGCGCAGAGATAATATTTCTGCTGATATTGACACAGAGCGCCGGCACAAATGCCCTGACGGAAATGCATAAAGGGTACCGCAGCGCAGTTAATCAAGAATTTGTTACCGAAATTGACAATTCAATATTACTAAATAAATATTGCAGTGAATACAGCCTCATAGATTACACTTCACTTTTTAATAGATGGGGATATTCTGTTAGGTCAAACGTATGGAACATGTATCCAGCCGCGGCGATGCTCGTAGACGTGGTGCCAGTTCATATACTGCCAGCAGCACGCGCGTTGCTAGTGCATCGCGTTATTTACTCCTCGAACTTTCAACTGGTTCTCAATGAGGACATCGCACCTTTGGGCCTACGAGGCAATCTGACATTGCGGCTTCAACCTGATTTAAATTATGTAGGAATGCACGTATTTATCAAAGACGGAATTAATGTAATAACTGAAAAAGTGCTCAGACAGAATATATCGTTTGTCGAATTCAGGGATTTACCAAATGGTATATACACAGTCGAATTCCGCGGAAAATTGATGCAACAATACATACCTAATCAACAATACGTATTCGTGAACGAGAAGCAAGAACCCATTACGTTTAATTTTGAGGTCGTTAATGGAAGTGCGGTTTTGGACCCAGTAATACATTTCTTTGGTTATAATGATCAATGTTTTGCGTTACTTACTATTACCTTTACTCGCAAACAAAAAACTCTACAATTTAAAATATCAGGATATAATCCAAATTTTTTACAAATACCACAAAATGGCGAAGTTTACGCGTCAGTACAAGTCACTAACGAAACTGGTAAGAAGTATGAGAAAGTAATTAAAGAACTAGCCGAGAAAGTGGACGACATTATCGACTTGGTCGAAGGTGATATCATAAAAGTTTACCACAATGAAACTAAGCAAAAACTGCGATCTCTAAACGCTGTTATAGACTTTTCTAGTAATGAGAACAGCTGGCTGGTAACTACGCATGGGTTGGTAAACCTTGAACTTAACAATAAACCACTAATTTCTATAGATCTATGCGCTGAAGCTATCTTTAAAGATTTTTTTAAAAGAAGTTTGTCTTTTTATCTCTCAGAAGAAAAAAAACAATTGCTAGCCGCTATCCACTCTCTTCCAGCACGACACAGAGAACTTTACTTTGGGAAATACGGCGTTCTCTTTCCCCAATCTCTCAATATCATCACTCTAGTGATGAAATCAGATCACGTAAACGCACTGGAGGGATTAATAGTTCAACTAGAGAACGATAAATTTGTTCAACAGAGAAGTGTTCAATACGGTGAGGTTCATTTTCAAAATTTGCCATTTGGCTCTTACTTTGTTAAATTTCCTAAAGAAGAATTAAGATATCTAGACGTTCAGCCTACTGTAATATTTGTCGATAAGTCAGAATTTGTTAAAAATATAGTCTTTAAAAAGATACGTAAAATAAAACTGGATGATGCATTTATTAAATATACAGCAAACATGAATATGACTATTGAGAAAGTGGTAATTACGACGGTTGGAGGTACTGCTATTATGAAAGCGACAGGAATAACCGAGACCCCGGAATTGAATGTGAATGCTTACGTATTAGTGAGAGATGTTCGAGGATTTGAGAAATACAACAAAATAATAGAAGCTAATCAGTCGTCGATATTGGAGCCAGGAGACGTGATGGAAGTGTACCGCATCGACGCCATTGACCAGCTGAAGCAGGCAAGTGTGTGGATGGTGACGGATTACGGCATTCAGAGGACGCCGGAAGAAAACGTCAAGGAAATAATCGAAGAAACAGCGAACGCTGTAGAAAAAAACCTAGCCCGCCTATGTTCTGCAATTTTCTCTTTAGCAGAACCTGATAGGGCGGAGTACAGGATGAAGTATGTTGATTTACTGTCATGTTACAGCAACGAAACACGATACGTGCCTGACAGTAAATAAATGTTCTGGGTATAGAAAATCGTATACTCAACGCAAATTTTGTTTATGAATAAATGACTTTTATACTTCTATATTACCTGGTATTCATATTGTCATTTTTATACATTTAAAATAGAAGCACGTTCAGCCACAACCAAATTACCCACGATAGTACACATTTCTCAAATAATGGCCATTCACTCTAGCCTTCAATAACCCCAAAGTGAAGTGTTAGGGATATGCTTGGGATACACATATTTACCTTATGCCGCACACACCTTATGCCGCTGCAATATGGTCGACTTTTTTCGGTGAAAGCTAATGTTCATTGTCTAAAGGATGAAAGAAACATTTATTCAGCTTAAGAAAATTCAAATTAATAATTACATATATCTATAAGCTGAAAAGGATCCAACTCAGCATATGTTACAGCTCACCTGCTGTAACACTGGTTTCCAGTTGGAACCGCTTTTACAAGATGAGATTGCACGTAAGTACTAGTGTCGTAAACACTAAAATTATAAAATGTAACTTAAATCAACTAAAAACAAGTAGCAAAATTACTAATAGGAACTATTACATGACTTGAATTTATATAAAATACTACACTTGTCAGGGATTATTACATGAATTGAATGTATATGAAATACTGCACTTCATCAAAGATTTCCAGACCAGCCGATCAGACGCGACGTGCATCCATCAATTACTCGCCGACAATGCACTTGTTAGGAATTATGATATGAATAGGATGTATGTATATAAAACACTGCACTTGTTAAGAATCATTACAAGAATTGAATGTATGAAATACTGCTCTTGTGAGACATTAATAAAGAAGAACATAGTCTTTCAGCTATAGACGCTAGATGGCAGCATATTGAAGGAAATTTCAATTTGAAGTCAAATCGCTGCAACTTACAATAATAGGTACTTATTGAACTTCCAACGAAATGCCAACTGGGTAAAGTTTAAATTATATTAAAAGTCCAGAATTAGATTTTATTTTTAAATTAGAAACTATGACTTATCATTCATCATGGAATGTGTTCAATATTATCATTGTGTGAGTTTTAGTGACAGCGGTTCTGATAATAAACGATGTTTAAGTCTTAAACACATAGTTTGATAGTATACTGAGTTTAAGGCAATGTCATTGATTTTTTTTCTTCCGTGGGTATATCCCCATCACTTTACAGCACTCATTAGAAAGGAAGAAGCAAAGCGTTTGTGGGATTATGATCCCACTAAAATTTATATGAATAAGATCCGAATTTTTCCAAGTGTGACAGGTACTTTTCAAATGAGAACAGTTGCATGTTACGTACTGGCCACACCTCTTCTGTAACCGTAACAAACTATCGAAGGCCGCAATGCGTTTCAAGGGCAAACAATAACAACAAAACTCATAACATGCGCAAACAATTCGCAGTTACAACGAAATACTATTAATTAGTTTACAAAGCAATTAAAACTCTTACTATTGCGTTAATCGCAATTCCAAGACTAGGTTAAGAACTATTATTATGGCTTTCCCGTCACACGTGTAGGGTATTCGTAACTTGTGAAGGTTTTACGATATAATGATTATGTATGTTCTATGGTATAACCACAAAAATTATATAAAACTAACTGTACCCGGCAAGCGCTGCAATGCCGCTGGAGACGTGTAAAGTCCCTAACCCGTATTGAGTCAAGGCCGTAAACCTGGAAGAGACCCATACCCAGCAGAGCGGCTTTTAATTTGCATTCAAAATAATACTCAATTTATTCAGTGAAAAAACTGAAAAAACCGAAAAACCGACCTCAAAAGTTCGTGGAATGACAACTATTTGCCAAGTTTTATTGAAATAGGTTACCGGGAAGTGCGCGAAACAAGACTCATCCCCTAGTTTGCCACACTTAGAGGTGGACTTATTTTCTTCAAATGGGACCAATACTCTTTCTAGCAAAAACAGAATCATCAAAATGGGCTCACAAATTTAGAGATATACGCGTAACATACTTACAACAAAAGCCATACAATCGAATTGAGACCTCCTCCTTTTCTGAAGTTAAAATGAAGGTCTACATTGCATTGCTATCTCCAAAGTACACGCTATACAGCTCGACGTCGCTCTGCAGCTGTCTATCTTTCGAAGAAATATACTTTGTTGTTGAAAATCTGAGTTACACTGCATTGTGGCATTACTCGTTTTAATGCACCGTGGCGCCGCGAGCTGCGCCGCTTGGCTGCGGCAATATGAGGCGACCTAGCCGGATTTACGTTTGTCAGGCGAGTCGTGTCATGAGGCGTCAGAATGGTACCACTTTCATACACACAGCACTAGCCGTCACGTCAGACTGCGACACATTAATATAAATCTAACGTGTATATATACAGACGTGAAAGCGACTACAACGATGGTGCCGCTGTTGTTACGGCGTCGTTTGTAATTAGCCTAAAAGTGATATATATGATGGTGATTATAAATATATAGATTATAATTATAGTAAAAAAAAAGACGGGCTGCACTATGGCGCCAATTCGCAAACGCCAAAAAGAGGTACTTAGAACTCTGTGTAATCTAGACGTGAATAAAACTAGTGGGCCAGATGGAATCCCAGCGATAGTCCTGCGTAACTGTGCACCTGAGTTGTCTCCTGTTCTCACACGCCTGTGCCGCCTCTCACTTGAGACTGATGTAGTTCCCAGGTCATAGAAGCTTGCAAACGTGCAACCTGTGCCAAAAAACATAGAGCTGTCCCTATCAACTATAGACCTATCTCAATCACTTCCATACCCTGCAAGACTATGGAACGTGTACTCAATAACCGTCTCCTATCGTACCTTGAAGACCTCCTCAGTGATCGCCAGTACAGATTCCGACGAGGACGATCTACTGGGGATCTTCTTGTGTATGCTTGTCACATATGGAGCGAGGTTATAGAAAAACAAGGCGAAGTACTTGCAGTGTCTTTGGACATTTCTAAAGCCTTTGACAGGGTCTGGCACGCAAGCCTTTTAAGTAAGCTTCCCTGTTATGGGCTTCCCACTGACCTTTGCAATTGGATCTGCGATTTTTTGAGCGAGCGTTCGATTCGAGTGGTCTTAGATGACTACTCTTCCGAACATATAGCGATAGACATATAGCCGGAGTTCCTCAGGATTCCGTACTGTCTGCAACTGTCTTTCTGCTGCATATCAATAATACGTTAATTCCAGGTACCTTTGCGTATGCTGATGACAGCACAGTCGTAGATAGGTACTTGACCAATGCAAGGGTCAGTGAAGAGGAAGTCCAGTCTTGTCGAGAGTCCATGGTTAGCCGTTTGGATTTGACACTCAAGGCAGTCTCCGATTGGGGCGATGCCAATCTTGTCAAATTTAACGCTACCAAAACGCAGGCATGTCTATTCTCCACAAAACGGAGTCCCTTTGAGCTGACTCCGACTTTTCGTGGTATATCCATACCGATAGCCGACTGTCTCCAGCTACTTGGAATGGACCTGTCTTCCAATTTGAACTTCGGCAGATACATTGAATCCATGGCCGAAAATGCAGCAAAGAAGCTTGGGATCCTTTCCAGAGTGAGGCGTTACTTTACACCGGGACAGTTGCTGTACCAAAAGCTGTACCAAAGACAAGTCCGATCGTGCATGGAGTACTGCTATCACCTCTGGGATGGTTCTGCTACGTATCAACTGGCCACTTTGGATTCAATTGACAACCGTGTCAAGAGACTAATATATGACTCGGAATTAGTGGAGGCGAAGCTGCAGAGCCTTGAACACCGCCGTAAAGTTTATCGGTATTTTACAGGATATATCACGGAGTGTGTGCGTTGGAATTACAAGTTTTAATTCCGTCTTCCCCTTTCCATCACCGGGGGACTAGGCGTAGGCTTAGGTTCCACCCCTACGTTGTGGATATTCCAAAGATTCGCACGAAGCGTTACGCTTCCACATTTATATGGCGAACGGCTATGGAGTGGAATTCCCTGCCTGCAGACTTGTTCCCCAAACGTTATAACTTGGACCTTTTCAGGGCGAGAGTGAATAGGCATTATTGAGGTGTGCATGCTCCATCGTCGACCTCATCGTCACTTTCCATCAGGTGAGATGGAGGTCAAATGCGCACCTATATTTTATATTAAAATAAACATAAGTTGACAAATCCCATGTGACAAATCCCATTCAAAACCGAAACGCAATACTGCTCATATTACTGTTGGCGGCAAAAATAGGTAAGGTGGCAGTGCTTATCTGGACGAACTCTTTCACAAGGAGCTCTACTGCCGCTATTGATTTATAAATTATTTAACTGCCTTCGTGGCCGAACGGTTACCATGTTGGTCTGCCACGCAGAGGTCCCGAGTTCGATTCCAGGGCCGGGAGAAATATTTGTATGTCCTATATTTATTTCTCTCGTTATGTAACGTTATGCTGCTGTTGTACAATTGAAATAGACCTGAGGAAATTCATAAAACTGTATTTGAGGAAGAAACACGCCGAAGCGCATGCAACTAGCTTCTTCCAAGAACTAGAATCAAATCGGTTCAGCGCTTTTACTTTGAGTTGTTCTTTTACGACAGGACATTTATTAACTTGTTACCTAATGTTACCTAGACAATTTCATCTAGATCTTCCGCAGCGTATCTTTTACCCTCCCGTTACGTATGTCTAGCTTCTTTAAGAATAATAGAACTGGCGATGAAACCCATGTGCAGAATTTCTTTATGCTTGCCTGGTTATACTTAACATCTATTCAAATCTCCTAAAAATCACGTTGTAACTGGCATGTCATCTGTCTCAAGAAACTTTATAGACGACTGCTCCAGACACGTGATAACCCTTAGTGATTTTGTGGATTGAAATATAAAATAAAAGTATTGAATAAGCCATACCTACACCGGCTATGAGGTTGCAAGCACGTTGTTGCCTCGTGCTCTCGGCGACGACCGGGTTGAATCCCAATTCATATCACTAATGCGACGACTAACCTCAGAAACAAAACGGTTCATTTTTTTAATATCTACAATCCTTCCTGCTTCTATAGAAATAAAAGATTTCGTCCAGAGAAGTACTGCCACCTTACCTATTTCTGCCGCCAAGCAGTAGGTAATGTGAGCATAATCGGGTAAAGGTGCTGTGAATTTACATGCACATGTTTCAACTTATGTCTCAGGGTAACGGGCGCAGTGGCAGTGTTCCTCAGATCAATGCGATTTAAAGTTCTAAGCGGCACTGCAACTATTATATAGGTACTGGCGAGTCGCTTACTACCAGGTGCACGACTTGTTCGTCCCGCTTGAGTAATTTGCCACCATACTATAAACGTGAGCTACCTTTTATTCGCTTCTCTATATTCCACACACATTTGATTCAAAGGGTATTCCATAGCAATTAACTTTATTTCAAAAGAGCCACCACTAGAGTTTATTGCTCGTTCTTCTCAGGGAAGTCAGCACAGGACATGAACAGTAGCTTAAAAAATTACGATTTCCAGTATAAATTTATTTTACCTATGGCATAAATTCTTTTTTTACTTTGACTCTACGAAATTCAGGAATTTTAATTAAACGATCACACACGGCATTTAGTGGAATTGAAAAGTAGCATGCTGCCTGCTAATTAAGTTTCGCAGAGATTTTTTTGTTGTTTTGCTACATATACCTATAAAAAAAAGAAATACAAAGATTGATAAGTCATACAGGCTAGTCTGTTTTAACTTTCCTGGCAACGTGTATATTTATCCTTACTTATGTATATAACTAAGAAGCTTTTTTAGTTATGGTCGTACCTGTAGATTTTATTGTACGTCTTTTAACATTTTTTACATTTTAACCTACATAATAAAAGAAAACAACACGCTCATTGAGCGTCGCCAGTATGTAAGAATCGCTCTTAGAGGACGGAAAATCGCTCAATACAAAAAAAATCTACAGTATAATTACTATGTTACATATGTTTTTTAACCTGGACGCAAAGAGGTTTGACAAGTTATCGAGATATAGTACAGCGAATCCTAGTATGGGAGCCAGGCACATCTGTGCTGCTATTTTCTGTATTTTGGAATAAAGTTTTTTTTTTCAAGTTTGTCTAAGGGGTGTGTGTATTTGCTTTATTTTGATCTTAGGGTACACTAGCTTGGTGTTGACATTCACCAATAAATGAATTGTGACAATAATTACATTTTTCACCCTATATAACAAAGTCAAAGTCAAAGTCAAAGATTATTTATTCCATAGGTAAAATAAATTTACACTTGAAATCGTCACATTTAAGCATTTGAAGTCGTTCACTACGCTGACCTCCCTGAGAAGAACGAGCAAGAAACTCTAGGGATTGCTCTTTTCAAATAAACTTAAATGCACACTTTGAATCAAATTTGTGCGGATTATGCAGCCATGTCGTCTTTCCATACATCTTTATCTAACACAGTCTTCAATTTTGTAATATGATTTTTCGATCAAAATATTTTTAATGTAGTTTTTAAACTTAGGAAATGATAAACTTAATATATGCTCCGGAATCTTATTGTAAAAAAGTATATAGTTCCCCATAAAAGAGTTGTTTACCTTGGTTAAACGAAATCGTGGTACCATGAGTTTGGACTTAGCTCTAAGGTTAATATTATGGATATCTTCTTTCTTATTGAAATTATGTATATTTTTACGAGCATATAAAATATTTGAGTAAATGTACTGTGATGCCACAGTCATGATACCAGTCTCCTTAAACTTTTCTCTGAGAGAAACCCGAGAGCCTAGACGGTACACAGAACGAATCGCTCGTTTTTGCAATACAAATATGGTTTGAATATCTGCCGCTTTACCCCACATGAGAATCCCGTAGGACATTATACTATGGAAGTAACTAAAGTAAACTAGTCTAGCAGTACTAACATCGGTAAGCTCACGTATTCTGCGGACCATTGAAGTTTACTATCTAAGGTCACTCCCAAGAAGACTGCTTTATTAACAAAGTCTAACTTTTCTCCGTTTATTTCTATGCTTGGACTAGTCGATTTTACGTTAGGTAATTCAAATTTAACACATTTTGTCTTCTTGGCATTAAGCAATAAATTGTTAGCATTAAACCAATAAACTACCTTAGAGAGGGTATCATTAATATGGTCATATTTAATGTCGTGTCTGTCTGTTTTAAAAATCATAGATGTGTCATCAGCAAACAACACTATTTCGCAATGGTCCTTAACAAAGAATGGCAGATCATTAATATAAATCGGAAATAAGAACGGCCCAAGTATTGAGCCCTGTGGAATGCCCATTTTTACCGGAGAACCCAAAGAAGTCACACCATTTATGTCTACTTTCTGAATTCTACCGTTGAGATATGACGAGACAAGTTTCGACGCCTTGCCATTTACACAATAATAAGTATACTGTTTATAATCATTGCCTATCTCATATAGTCTAAGTACTGGAACATAGATTATGGTAATAAGCACTAAAACATTATACAGGGTTATTCGTTAAGAAAGCCCGGGCGATTATTCATACGTACATATAAGAGATATCAAAAACATTTAAACTGATATCGAAAGTATGTTACCCAATGAGTCAAATGAAGTGAATAACTTTTTTGAATAAAACTACAAATATCCAAAAATTGTAAGCTAAACGCTTCAGTACATTTAAATATGAAATTCGAAAGTTTACAGATAACGAAACTTCTATAAATAATAACTTTAAGCATGTTTCCATTGTTCAAGAAGCATACACACAAACTGCAGGTTTCAAGTTGCTTAGATAACGAACACATTATCTTGCATGCAACTTGCTCGTGTAAATGTGCACCCTGTAAAGCATTATGATCTTAGAGGATTGAAAAAAATAAAAGAATTATGATGTAGCCAATGTCACGTTGCGCTACGTTTTCATGTAGCCATTGCACTTGGGAAATTCGTTTATTTAGCGGTAGAAATTAACGTAAAAAGCGTGTTTTATAATAACTTTAATTGTCACCAAATAAGAGGCCAAATTTGACAGCTAAAGAAGGCGACAGTGTGTAACTTTGAACGCGATCAACGAAGCAATAACCAAACAATTATTAGCATAATTGAATTTAAAAAAAAACCAAATATTTTATTGAAACATTATATAATATGACAAAACATATTTGAAATACTGTTTTCGCTCGAATTCCAAAATAAAATGCAATTTTGAGTTACCCCGAAACGTCCTGAAAACAGTTACGTCCTCAAGCTATTTTTTTTAAATAATTATGTTGTAAGCAATTAATCGCCGAATTTCCCCGAGTCACTTCGATTAATATTAGAAAAAAATATGAACATTATTTGAGGTTGTTTGTTGTTAACATTGACAACTTCTAACTTATTTCCAGCCGAATAATTGAAAATTTATGAAATCCTTGGTTTCTTAGTTATTTACATTTTTTATGTAGTTGTTTTATCGATGAACATACTTATTTACACTAAATTCTCGTAATAAACCATGTATGAATATTATAACATCAAAATTAAAAGAATAGGATGCAATTCTTCGGAATGTGGGACAATTTTACGAAAATAAGAGGAATTGCTACAGAATTGCAAGGAATTCTGTAAATGAATTGCTTTGAACAGAATTGCACAATTTGACCTTTTAGCCCTCCTGAACAACAATGAAATGAGAAATGATCTAAACAATCACAAACTCTTAAAATGTTGAATCAATTTCTCGTGAAAATCGTATATATGATTAGTCCACATACCTATTCGCGTCACGATGACAAGTGTCAAATTTTGCCTCTCATTTGGTGACAACTATGTGACGGGACGAACACATCGTGCGCCTAATGGTAAGCGACACGCCTGTCCGTAATAGTTGCAGTACCACTCAAAGCCTTAAATCGCACAGATCTGGCAGGCACTGCCACTGCGCCCGACACCCTGAGACATAAGTTGACAAGTTCTCCACTAATTGTCTCCCTGTAATCCACTAGCACACTTTCCCTTTGAACCACCGGAACGCAGTAATGCTCATACTACAGCATGGCGGCAGATACATGAAATCTTAAACAACTAAACATAATTTATTTTTTATCAAACACTACTACTTATTCCTAAGAAGAATGAGCAAAAAAACTCTAGGCGTTGCTCTTTGTAAATAGACATTTTGTACCATTTTTCATTAACAATATTTATTCCAAATATTACAGATCGAATCAACTTGCAAATGCTGAACAGGTTACTACCATGGATTTTTGTCATCCATGTACGCAGAAGCTGTATATTAATAAATCTTTAGCAGTTTCTTATTTACTATAGTTTTAAACCTTGTAAATGGCAACCGGAATCTTATTTATAGAAGAGTTTGTCCGTTAAATGATTTTGTAAAGACGACTGTCAAGAACAGTTTGAATATTTTTTATTGCTAATCCTTTTAACATGAATTAAATTATCATACATGTACCGTGACGCTAGCGCAAAAGTGTTAATTTCTTTAAGTTTATCTGTAAGACACTCTGGGGCCCAGATTATATTGACCTAACGGCATGATTTTGCAGGACAAAAATTGTAATATTCTAATATAATATCGGCGGCATCACCCCAAAGCAAAACGCCGTGTTATCAAGCTGAGTATAAAGTAGCAAGTGGTCTGCTTGAAAATATATTAATCAGAAATTAATAGTTCACGAACTAAAAGTATGTTATCTTTCTTTTTCTTTTAAAGAATTATTTACCTTCCAATTGGAGTTCTGTGTAGCAAATCTGAATTTCACATTACTTAACTATTCTTACAGCAGATATTTTGTTTTGTGAGGGAGTCACCAAACTTATTGGTTTATTTGTTTTATGTCCATGCAAGTAGAGTGAAAAAGATATACATCGTATTGGCATGGACATGAAGCCTTTTCTGATTGGCTCAAACCGATAGTGCGAGTTCTTTGTAAAAAAAAACTAAGTAGTCAAAGTTTATCTTCGTAGGTAAATAATTTATAAATGAAAGCCATATTGCGCACTCGAACCTTTATAAATATCACAATAAAGCAGAAAGAAATACCATAAAAAAAAATTACATGACCTTAATCTGTCTTATTAGGATATAGAGGGAATCACCACCTTTCACCTGGATTACGGCTTGGAACCCGGATGATATTGCGCATCCTACCTTCCGAACCAAAACGTCTGAATAAACCACCATATCTATTAAGAAATGGGCCTCTGGTATAACCTGGAAGAGAGCGAATAGCAGCCAAAAGTAATTTCTTTTCGTTTGATACATACAGAGATGCTCTAGATCTAAAGGCACTCGTTGCAATTGCATTAGCATTCGAGGTTATATACATCAACTGGTTATCCAAAGGAGCATCCTTGAAAAGCAAACTGTCATCAATTCTTATGAAATCAAATAGTACTGGATTTACACTAGAATTCACTTCTATATATTGAGGATGAATAATGTATTCTTCAGCACCTCGTCCGCGAAACTCCATTGAATAAACTCCGAACGGCACATTAACATAGTTGAACAGATTTGATTGTGGCTGTATTGTGTCTTCTAAGACTACTTCGTCGCCACTTTTAATGGCCACCACGGTGCCAATTAAATTATGTAAGCCTTGTTTCGACGACACTACAATATTGCCTTTTCCTACATCGACCGTTATAAATACAATAGCACAGTCCGACAATATTGTACTGTATTTCATCACAAACTCGGTTCGGTACGGTTCTGGAAGAGAGCGAACGCCAATTACCACATGCTTTGCGTTGTCGGATCCAAAAAAATCACTCTGTAGTTCTCCAGAGTTTCGATACAACTTTCGCAAGAACGTATATAGAGGATTATTTCCTAGTGCCAAGTTCATTAACCCATATCGTGTCACTAGAAATCTATGAGTAGTCCTGTTTACGCCGAGGTGGGTGATGCCGTCTGGGGAAAGAAGTCTCGCAGGTGCTTCCTCGTGAAATATCTTTATTTGAAATCCTTCTTGCATTGGGACTTCGTGGAATGACGGAGCTGTTACGCCTTCCACCAGTCTCTCGTATATTTTTATGCCATAATTATCCATCACTTCTACATTAATGTACGGTTTTCCTTTCCAAAAACTATGTGGCCTATTCGAGCTTATATTGACCGTAATAGTTTGATTTTCATAATGGGTTTGCAAGTCCCCGACTACAGCATTATGGACTCCTTGAAATATTAATATTTGATTCAGGAACTTACTATAACGTGAGCTTTGTTGCAGGTATTCTAATTCTTCGTCGATGCAGTCTGTAAAATATGAATTTTAGTTAGTTACATAAAACAAGTAGTACTGGCCCAGGTACTTAGATCGCGTCATAGTACGAACTCTTGAAAGTAAGACTCCAAGGTCAGGAAAAGGAATTCAATATTATCCGTAAACTTACCGAATTTCACCCAAGTCGATGTTTCCGCAAAAACAATAAAGAATAGAATCGTTGATAGCCACATATTCACAAACGTTGTGGTTATGATATCAATTTAGGTGAAAATCAATACTCGAACACAATGCGCCCGTGACGCTTACCTACAATGATAATTATTAATTACATAACAAAACAATAATAAAATATTTCTTTAAGTAGGAATAAACCCATTAATTACAATACATAATATATCTGTAAAAAAACTTAAACCAGAAAGTTTACTTTTAGTTCACTAGGAATCCGCTAGATGACGGAATTAGTAGAGGCGAAGGTGCAGCGCACCTTCTTGAACACCACCGTAAAGTTGCCTGCTTAGCGGTATTCTACATGATATAACACGGAGAGTACGATGGAATTACACTGTTGAATTCCCCTTCGCCTCTTCACCTTCCCCTTTCCATCATCGGGGGACTTGGCGTAGGCTTGGATTCCACCCCTATGTTGTGGATATTCCAAAGATTCGCACGAAGCGTTACGCTTCCACATTTATATGGCGAACGGCTATGGAGTGGAATTCCCTGCCTGCAGACTTGTTCCCTGAATGTTATAACTTGGGCCTTTCCATGGCGAGAGTGAATAGGTATTATTTAGGTGTCCATGCTTGTCGACCTCATCGTCACTTTCCATCAGGAGAGATGGAGGTCAAATGCACACGTACATTTGATTAAAAAAAGATGGCATTGACCCATTTGGTGTTATTTGTGAATCGCGGTGTAAAGATTTTCTTCGAATGGTGGCTACTGTGACACAATTTTGTTTATGTGGAGAGAAATCGGAGAATACCGGGAACTCGGTTAGGCTAACCAGGAGTTGGGTCCCTTCTTGGGAACCGCTACCCGGACCTTCGGATATTACGTACGCTCACATAGGGTGAAATTTTATTTGAACATCATATAGGCTGAAATTCATCATCTCACGTAACGGTTTCCAGGAGCCGAGTCCCTTCTTGGGAACACGGGACCTTCCGCATATAGGGTGAAATTACCTTTACACATCTATTTAATTTATTAACAGAAAATTATTATTGAATCTGATTAAAATCGCGCGCCTCTCGCACGTTACACATGTATTTAATTGCACGTATCCAGCACGCATACAACGCGCGTGCAGTGTGCGTGCAACGCGCGTGCAGCGCACATGTAGAGCGTTTACGCGCATTCGCCAGATCTGTACGTTACAATAGTATTGGCTGATTCGCTCACCCTCGTAAGAAAAGATTAATATTTTTACGAATTATGGCGAAAAAATCATCTACTCCCGGCTAACATGCCAGACACACTAACCGCCAGGGTAGCCGCAACACAACACGAAACGCATTTAATACATATTCAGATCTGAGTCTATCCAAAGTTCGCTTAGTTTATTAATACCGCAGCTGCCTAGTGTAGAGCGCCTGACAGTAAGCCCTGAACAGAACAATTTTTACTTGAATATGATAGCTATAAATCAACGTTATTCACGTGTATTTCTGCGATATTCATTGAAATTGAGTTTTATTTTCTGTTTTAAGTCTAAGTTAACATTTAGCCTTACAGTATTTATAAAGTGATTACCTTTTATTACTACAACAGAGACGTCGCAACACAAGAAAAATCCCATAGCTCATGTTAGAGAGTGTATTAGAAATAAACCTAGGTGTATTAAGAACAGAACAACACAGTAGAAGTGGTTAGTTAGCATCTGACGCGTGCCAACGATAGGTCTCGAAAGACCTACTTGAGCTCAGTCCGCCATTTACGTATAAATGTATTTTTGGTATGGTTGCGTCATTCTTATGCGCAAATTCTTTAAAATCGTAGAAAAATGCCTTATTGTGTTGTTTTAGAGTGCATAAATAATAGCTGCATCAAAAATATTACCCGTAGTAGTATTTCAGATCATCGGTAAGTTTTATTTTAATAAATTTTCAATTTTCTGATTATCTATTCCTTCAGATGTTAATAACCGTAGGGAAAGTAGTTGAAACTCACAACATATCCCTTTCGTTCGTCGCAGTCCAGCTACTGGCCGCAAGATGGCAACACGTTGAAAATACATAGGGTGCACTTTAAGTTTCCATAACTTGCCACTTACATAAATAATATCTAAAAAGTGATTGCAACATTTGAAAATGGAACTCTTTGGCTGTAGAATACAGTTTGTTTCATCTTACCATCACTTGTTGTTACATTGTGGCGTCATTTTAGAAATTGGTTGTCTACATCACCATGGATTAACTCGTGAAAATTTTCGTAGTATGATTTTCTACGACTTTAAGTGTAATGTAACAGCTCAGCGAAGCTTCGCTCGGCTTCAAACTGCTTTTGGCGATGAAGCACCATATAAGACGACTATTTATAGCTGGTTTGCAGAATTCAAACCCGGTCGTGTGAATCTCAGTGACGAATTTCGTGATGGTCGCCCGTCCACTGACGTGAACAACAACAACATCGATGTTGTGCGCCGTATGATCAAATCAGACAGCCATGTGACATACCATGAAATTTGGGCATCTTTAGGCATAGGCATGAGTCAAATACAATCAATACTACACAAACATTTGGGTGTGAAAAAGCTGTGCTCTCAGTGGATCCCACACAATTTGACTGAGGCTCAAAAAACGGATCGCGTCACTTGGTGCAATGCCATGCTTAACAGATTCAACGATGGGGCGTTAATTTTGGTGTGGAACATAGTAACAGGTGAAGAAACATGCATTTATAGTTACGATCCCAAAACAAAGCAGCAATCGAGCGTATGGGTCTTTCGAGATGAGCCGAAACCAACCAAAGTGGCGCGCTTGCGAAGTGTTCTAAGCGGATGATTGCTTCTTTTTTTAATAACACTGGACCTGTTGCTTTGGAGAATCGTTGTACCGTGAATAGTGATTGGTACACGACCATTTGTTTGCCGGAAGTTATTGACAAACTCTGTAAAAATGTCCGAAAACGCCATATCATCTTGCACCACGATAACGCCAGTTCTCACACGGTCAGACAGACAAATGAATTTTTGAAGGTGGTTTTCGTATGAAAAAGTGCATTAAAGCTAACGGAGAATATTTTGAGAAACAATAAATTCATTTCTAACCATTTATGGTATTTTTTCTTATTCATTCCGGAACTTATAGTGCGCCTTAAGTAAAATATCAATATATAATCAAAACGTCGTAACTTGCTATAAAGGTATTGAACTTTTGACGAAACAGCGATTGAGTAAAGTTTAATTATATTAACAATGCAGAATTTGTAACACCTTTTTAAATTAGAAACTACAACCAATTATCAAGATTTCGTAGAGTTTATCATTTTGTTTGTATGCGTTTAGGCGACATCGGTTCCAATAGTAATCGATGTTAATGGCATTTCCATTGCCACTCTTTTTTTCTTCCGTGGTTAAGAATTTAAGCTCTACTACCACCACGCCCACTACTTGTTAGATTAGATAAAAAAGCACGATATTTGTTATTCCAATTTTTTAAATTTCACCCTTTAAGCTAATTATTGTTATTTAAGCTTCAATGTATTTCGTGATGTCCGTATATTATTAATATTTTAAATATAAGTATTTTGGTAAAATTCAACACACCCGTGCACCCGTGACGGATTTTTGGCTGCTGTGAGAAAGTACTATAACTCTCGGATGATTAAATAAATTCGTCACATCTGGGAATTGTCCTTGACCGCAAGTAGCCAATATACGTCACAAAAAACTTGTCACCTGAGAATAAATATTTACACGCTGCAGCCAGGATTCGAACAGAGGAACTAAATTATAAATGTGTCTGGATACGCGGTGGGCGTATTTTTGCACGCGAGACGAAATTGTCCGACACCATTTATATACAAAATTTAGAGGTTATAAAATCTTTGTCGTAGTGTATAACTAATAACAGCCAGTTATTGGTTTTTATTTTCGTTTTTTTTTCAACTATTTACGTACGCCTGTTTTTTTAATGGTTTTTAATATGTTAAATAAATTAAACATTTATGTAGACAATGTGAGAGGTTTGCATACAAAAACTAATAATGTTTTATGAAAACACATTGTGCAGCAACTACGACGTAATTATTTTTTGCGAAACATGGTTAAATTCTTTCGCAGCTTTGAATTATGTAGTAGCGAATATAATAGTTTACTGAGGCGACATAGAGTCAACTGGTTTTCGTAACAAGAAGGATGGTGGCGGGGCCTTGATAGCAGTGTCACGAAGGATACCCTCAGTAATATTATCAAATTACGAAAGTAAATGTGAAGACTTGTATGGTAAATTGTACTTTCTATTCTATATTTGTGCTGTCTATTTACCCCCTCCTACCCAACTTGACATTTTAAATGATTTTCTAAGTAACATCAACCATTTTATGGAATCTAATAACAGTGTTTTAATTCAATCTCAATTTGAGTAATTTGACGTGGTCTGGGATCGGCATCCCAGACCAAGTCAAATTCTGTGTGTCTTTACAAGTATCCAGCAAAGTAAATACTAATAATGACTCATTGGACTAAACCAATATAACCGTGTAGTGAACCACCTAAATAAGATTTTAGATCTTGTTTTATCATCGGAGTCCATCTTGGATATGCATGTGTACTTCTGACACCACCATACTAAATAGTAAATATTACGTTATTAATTTTAATGAACAAATTCCTATCATGTTAACAATTAGTATCATCGTTGTAACGTGTATTATCTTCGTTTTAATTAACAAGACTCGTCAAATTGATTTACCAGCCTAGCATTGTCGAACGAATTTCTATTTACGTAATTTCATTGCGTCCTCTAAGGCGGGTTGTTTTTCAGTAAATTCATTGTTCAAAAATATATGTATGAACACCAAACCATATAATGTACTTCTATTGTCCACGTACAGAACCAAATTGTCCAAGTATATTCCGTCTAACGATTGTTCACGTTAACACATTGAATGCGAATATTCTGATAGACCCGATTTGGGTGTGGTTCTCTTATAAACTTAACAAATATTAAAGGAAAAAATAAATACAGAGTTAGATATAATAAGTATGGAAACCCGTTGGATAACATAGCTTACTCGTCATTAAAGAAAAGATAAGATAGATAGAATAATAGATAGAAGATAATTGCTAAAACAATTCTCTTGCTGTCGCAAAAGAATTGTTATAGCAATTATTTATCTTAGTCGAAACATCTATAAAGAATAATCCAAAATCAATATGGTCGTAATTGAATATAACTAGCCCAAGTATGGGTAATTTGTTAGCTTCTCAATTCGCTTCAGTATATGACAGTTTATTTGTCACAGAACCTTGGTCAAAATACCTAAATTTACTAGATTCTTCTAATATGTTATGCAGCATAACTTTCTCAGTAGACGAAATATTTTAAAAACTTAAATCTCTTGGCAAAAACAAAGGTTCTGTTAATTGTGCTAATTACTTATCATACTCCTTACGCGAAACATTTAACAAATCTCTGTCATCTGGCACATTTCCTATGGCGTGGACAACGGCACTTATTGTGCCCATTCTTAAATCAGCTCATATCAAGAATGCAACAAATTATAGGCCTATATCAAATCTATCGGTATTTGCTAAACTATATGAATCTTTGTTATGTCCCATACTTTCTTGGCATATCAAACAGCAGATTACTTCCAAACAACACGGATTCATCAAAGGGCGCTCCTCATAATTGGGGACAGGAATTCGAAGGTAGTTTTAAATGGTTTTACACCAAACGCTTTCTCTACACCCTCGGGATTCCTTAGGGATCACATCTTAGCCCAGTATTCTTTATTATATTCATCAATACATAACAGATGTTTTCCATACTCTTACATTTACCTTTACGCTGATGATCTCAAAATAGCTAATCCTTTAGAATCTGCCTCGGACCTTGTTCTTCTTCAGGAGGGTCTGTCTAGACTTGCCTAGTGGTGCGCAATTATTAAAATAACACTTAATGTAGAAAAATGTTATCATATTATGCATTTCACTCGAAACAGAAACCACAAAACAATAAATATAAAGTACATGATAAGCACATAACAACAGTCAGTACTTTAAGGGATCTGAGTGTAACATTTGATTCGGATTTAAAGTTTGACAAACATATTAGCAAAATTGCCTCTAAAAGCTATAAGTCTCTTGGCTTTGTATTTAGAAATTGCAAACGTTTTAAACATCCACTAAAATAAATATTTTCAACAGCCTAGTCAGATCTAGTCTTAAGTATGGAAGTGTGTGGTCGCCTTTCTATGAGATTCATGCGAATATGATAGAACGGGTTCAAAAGCGTTTCTTATATCATTTGACTTATGCAAGAGAGCTAAACAGCTTCATTCTTATAACGAACGTTTAAATTATTTCAATATGCACAATTTAAAACAACGAAGACAATTTCTCGATCAAACGTTTCTATTTAAAATTACAAACGGTCTAATAGATTGTTCCCAATTTCAGTTAATTTTAAATTTAACATCCCTTTCAAACCACCACGAAAAAGCAAATGCTACCTGTTTATGTCGCCCCTTCCCGTAATAATCTTGACCTAAATTCTTCCATCGCCAGAATAGTAAAAAACTACAACAACATGGCGTTAAAATTTGATAGTGACATGTATTTGCATAACCTTATTAAGGTATAAAGCCAAATTGAAAAGGCTACTTTAGGCTAAGTCACTGCTCACTTGAACATACATCTATTTATACATACTTTAGTATATTTAAAATATGTATTTCTTTTAAATGCATCCTTATACTTTTGTAATAATTAAAGTTGTAAGTTTTAGTAACAAAATTGTACCTAACTGGTTGACACGTGTAGTAATCAATAAATACATGTAATATTAAGTTAAACAGTATGTATGTACTCAATTACTTTTTAATACTCCATGTGCATAAACGCACACCGTGGCAACCTGTAAATGAAAGAACACAAAAACTCGAGCCACAATATCTATTGTTTTGATCGTTTGTTTCTACGTTGTCCTAAATAAATATATAAGGTGTGGCATAGCGACTCCGTTGCTCTGGTACTCGAAGTACAGGGAATTACCTAGTTTGAGATCAGGCTATAGGAATGGTTGTGTGACACGTTATCATTATTGTTATGGATATCTTTCCGCTCACGCGATACATGCAGCCGTAGACGCATACCACACCTAGAGGTGCCGGTGATGATTTTATACCGATTTATCGGATTTCGAAGTTATAACAGGTAAAAGAACTAATATTAATTGCTATTTCGGTAACTACTCTAGCAAACCATAAAGTTTTTAATGCCTAGGTCTGTCATTTAAAAAAATAAACAACTTCAAAAATACGTCACGACAATCGTTTGTGTTATTGTTTGGGCTGATGATTTCGGTGTTTATTTATTGAAAACATACTGTAAGTAGTCAAATCGCGACAGAGGGAAAATGACTTTTTAAAAACTAATTTTAAAATAAAAACGAACAATTCGTTTGATGGTCGATATAAGACTGATTTATTTAAATTCAATATTCTTACTGCTAAGCGCCTTATCTACTATAGACATGCAACTATGCAGTTTTGGGTGCAGGTGCATTTATGATGACCATGCCATCTCTATAGGAGTGAGACTGTGTAACTTCTCCCTCCTTCAGTTCGAAATCATCCGAAGAACAATTTTTTGGAGGATGATTGCGACTTTTGCGGAAGCTGCATATGGAAACTGCATATTTGTATAAAATATAAGAAAGGAAACCTATGATTAATATTACGTATAAGACAATGGTTCCTATGCTAACACTGTCCGAATTCACTACACTAACACTTGGCACTTCACTGTTTTTCAACGCATACGATATGATTTTTAAATTAGTCAGGTCAACTCCATTTAATTTTACAGGGTTGATGTTCCTTTGGATATCAGTCTTCAGGTTTGCAGGGAGCTTTACTAAAGGGAGTTGTGGATATAGTAATTTTTCTCCTTTTAAGGTATGTTCACGTAAACAATGGTTCGCTATTTTGTATTCACATTTGTCGTCTATCGTGAGCAGGTTTGTACCAGAAAGAGTGTAATGTAGAATTTCATTGGCACAGGACCTTGTGAGGTCAACTGCGAACTTCGTGTATATTATCCATCTGTTCAAATGCAGTAGCTCTACCTTTATTTCTTCAAGTTCTATTGGAATCTGTGTACAGGAAACATCATTCGAATATCTCATCAAATCCAGGATACAGGTATCTTCAACAGGAACTATTGTCTGCGTTTCGTCACACAGAAACATTCCTTCTTCGACGGCTTTGCACGGCGTGGATAACGAGTTAGCTTTCAACCCCTTCGCAATAAGGTAAGGGTATTTAGGTAAAATAATTAAGGTAAGGTTTGTTTCAGGGTTGGTGATTGGTAAAGGAACAATTTTGTAATAAAAGTAAGTATCTTTTCTAATTAAAGGTATTTCCATTACAAATATAATTTCATAATTCTTAACATATGATTTTAATACAATTGACTGCTCAATTTTTATTATATTTTCTGGAGTTGAAGGAAATACGAGCTTGTCCGTTCTCTCTATAAGCTTTAGTATCTTTATAAGTTCCTGGGTGTTAACAACAGATTGATGTAATATTCCGATTCTACTAAACGCTATAATATTTTCAATCTCATTCAATTTAGCATAAACCATCTGAAAATTATGTAAAAACAAATTGTAAGCATGTATTATTTTATTGATGTAAGAAGTCTTTGAAATTTCATTGATTTCTTTACTAATCTTATTAACTGCAGCATCTAATTGTATGAGATTGTTCGTTATGTTTACAGTAGAGTTCGTGAAAATCCTCAC